GGGGGGGGGTTGTGCGTGTGTTTTAACTTTCAAAATAATAATAATATGGGCTCCCTGGGGATTTTTATAAACTCGAACCCGCGTTGCCCATAGAATATTGAGACTAAAATCCCTCGGTCGTACCGGTTCGGTGCCGGTGCCCCTAATCTGTCCTTGCACTATGTTGGAAGGTGATTTTCATTCCTACTAAGTGAGATCTCTTATGTCTAGACCCTAGGATTAACAAGAACGGAGAAATAAACTACAGACTAGCATCTTACTTTTACATTTTTATATATTTCAGTGTCAAATGGGAATAAATGTGAGCTTAGTAGGCCTATGTAACATATCACAACAACAAAAAGTGACAGTTATGTTATGGTGGACATTTTTTTCTTTCTTTTCTGCAGCTTGAACTATTGAGGGAAGAAAAACGGAAGGCTGAAACAACGAACGCGATTTTAACGGTAACTGAGATTTTAAAAAGTTTTTTTAAGTTTGCGTGTGTTTTGTATGTTATAATTCGATTCCTAAGACAGGTAGCGTACCATCTCCCCCGTGAACGATTGAATAGGGCTATGCAAGCGAAGTTAAAGAAAGTAATTGTCAAATTGCCAAATAAAAGAGTATATCCAGCATTCCATGAATACCAGCCTGATGAAGATGACGTTCTTCTAGAAATTAGCTGCCTACTGCAATCGTGTATGCTGTGAAACAATATTTCATTGTTTCAACTATGTTAAAATTCAGAACTGCAAGGCAATGCCACACCTGCGTGAGCACAAGTGCCAAAAATAAAATTAAAAGACAGACATACAAGAAATTAAACTTAATCTGAATTGAAAAATAAAACAAAACAGACACAAACAGATGATTTTATGCTGAATGTCAAACAGATTTCTATTGGCTCTAAGAGCTGTAAGTGAAGGCACGGCACGGAAATGCCCTGTGTGTGGAATTCTCCCACCTTCCCCTATTATTGTCTTTAGTCAGAAGGCCTAGATCTATGCTATTTTTCAACTTCGTCAATTGAAATAAAACTGTTTCTTTTTACAGAAACGAAACGTAGCTCGCCTCACAAGACTATCAAGGCGTTTGGAGCAACAGAAAGACAAACGTACCAATCTGGTTTGGTCGATAGAGCAATCAAAAAACAAAATTGCGGCGGTCAAAGAGACGTTAGAAAGTTTCACTGCCTTCAACGTGCACTAACAATTCATGTCCATGTATCATGCATGCACGTACATGGGAGCACACTGTTGTAGCGTCAGATCAGAATCTTGTCATTAGAAATAGCGATAACTCATTACTAATAAACTTTACTAAAAGTTACAAATTGCATGGATATCAAGTATGTTTATTACATGATCTGGATATGAAATAAATAAGAATATAACATTCTACCTGGCTAAAGTGTGAATGTGAATGTATTTTGTGAAAGCATGGCTGTGAAACGCATGAAATTAACTATAAGCACAGTACATGTTTGAATGTTGTGACGAGGTTAACTACATGAAACAGTAACAAGCTGGTTCGAATTCATAATTAGAATAAGGTCTGAAATTCTTTAGGTCTCCCTGGAATGGTGTCCTACGAAACAAAAAAAGCGGGCGTGGGTGGGGAGCACATGCAGTGTCTCTTAAAGTCAGTTTTGTGTGTTACCAAGGCGTAGCTTCAAGCAAAAATAAAAACATAAAACAAAACAAAACACACACTGAAGCAAACACACACACACACACACACACAC